AGTTGCATTAATATATTTGACTCTTATAGGCAAGTTTGCACAGCCACTCGTCGGAGTCGATTTTTCTAAGTCAAACGTTGAGCAACGAATACGATATTACATATTTAGAGAGCAACAAATTAGGGGAATATTTTAAGATCAAAATAATAGCAGCAGGTTTTCGGAGTTTAAAAGTGATGCATAGAAGCGGAAATAGAGCAACTAATTAGCAAATTAGAACTAAAGAAATATATCGTTTTTTTTGTTTTTAAAAATTTTTTTTTTTGTGATTGTGCTAACTTTAACCTATAGTTAGCACAGCCACTATTTTCTCTGAATCGGCTGGAGCAACAAAATCGGGAATAAAGCAACAAATTAGCGAGAAAAGAGCACTAAATTTATATAAGTTTTATTCCATTGTGTAAAGTGGCTGTGCCAGCTTAATAGACGTAGGTAATTATGCATAAAAAAGATCTAACCTCGCACAAATATGTCATTGACATATATTGTCAAGGTCATATCTCTAATTAATATTCTGAAGGTTTTAGCCGGCGGTCGTTCTTTATTCAAAAGTTATTGGAGTATTTATGCATAAAAGGGGATCTCTCCGATTTGCTTTATTTTTAAATATGTTATAGGGGAAATTTTCCGAAATAATTTCGTATATATATAAGGGTTGGACTCAAATAGCTTTGGAGATATAGACTAAAAAAGGATAAAAATAATAAAATACAAAAATATAAAAATAAGGTAAACCTTCGGAAAACCCATCTATATAAAATAATGGGTAAGAATACCCAATTCCTACGTATTTTTACCTCCTGAACATAAATATGAAAAATAGCGGTCGAACTTGCAAGTTGAAGAAAAACGCAAAAAAGGTAAACAATTTAAATTTATGTAGAATTTAATACAATTTAATACAATTAAAAAATCATAAATGTATGTGTACATACACACACACGCCGGGAGTACAAAAAGGGGCCTTCGGCCCTCCTCCCACGACAATCTCGCCGGTAGGAAAGGTGGACAATTTACAGCATACAGGATGTTCGAAAATTCAACTAACAAATTTTCAGAGATTGTTGGGGGCACCATAAGAATCATTTTTTGAAAATGAACCTGGGGTCGGAAACATGTCATTGTTATATCGCTATGGCATACGGAGTGTTCGAAAGAGTCGGGACTTCGAAATATCATAAAAAATAGAAGTTTTACAAACAATTGTTTCAAACAAAAGTTGTAGGATGTAAAAAGATCTATTTACTGGGCGCCATGTGTTTGACCTTGAATGGCGTCGCCAAGGTCACGACAAGGCTACCTTGAATTTTTTTAATGGAATCCTCCACTTTTTATTGGATATTCTTGTAGCTCTTCTCGAGACCTTTTCAAAGCATTATAAGCACTAGTAATTTTATCAATTTTAAGTAAACCATTTCGAAGTTATTGAAGTTAAAAAGTTTTTTCTAATAAGTCGACGACTGTAGCTATCGTATTATTATCCGCAAATGAAGGTAGAAGTAAATGGTAGTGGTAAATAATGGTGGATCTGCTTTTATAACTGACCGATGCGTATGATATTTTAAACCATTTTTTATTATAGACATTCGAGCAAATAAAAACCTTCATTTTTTTGTAGACTTGAGTTTATACTCCAAACAGTACTGTTGTGCACTGTTAAAGCACGTGTCCGATTAAAATCATCGTCTAGAAAATAAAGTATTTTATTTCTGATTTCTATCTCTGATATTATTTCTTTTTGACCAAATGCGACATGGAGCTCTTGGAACGAGTATGCTGACATAATTGTTATTTATGGAGAGGCCTATTATCACAGCAGTAAGGATCTATCAAGAACGTTCCCAAAACTGCGATTCCTCATCACAGTATTTTCGTCCAGGTGTTCCAGCGCCTCGAAGAAACTGGTTCAATAGATGTTCGCAGGCCTGATGCTGGACGTAAGCGATTTGTCTGCACACCGGAGATGGAAGAGGATATTCTGTCGTGTGGAAAAAAATCCTTCAATTAGCACTCGTGCTGTGGCTGCGGCTGTCGGTGCAGCACACAGCACAGTTTGGGAAATCCTACATGAGCAGTTGCTACTTCCATACAAGCAACAGAAGGTGCAGAGTTTGAATCCGACTAATTATCCTCATCGTCATAAATTTGTGCAATGGTTTCTGCGGAAGATTCGCCGGGATCCAAATTTCCCAAAATTTATTTTGTTCACCGATGAGGCTGTGTTCACCAGAATAGGAGGAACTTCAACTGCCACAACAGTCATGTGTGGGCGGATAAAAATCTGCATGCTGTGAGAGTAGGAAACTATCAGCGATTCAACGTGAATGTTTGGACTGGTACTGTTGGAGATAGTCTCCTCGGACCTTACATTCTGTCCAACTACCTGCGCGAAGATAAGTATTTGACGTTTCTGCAGGATACCTTCCCGGACTTCATAGAATACGTGCCTCTAGCAATTCGCCGAAATATGTTGTTTCAGAATGACGGAGCTCCGACCCACTATTCGCAGCAAGTGCGTACCTACTTGAACGCGATTTTTCCGGACAAGTGGATTGAGCGAGGAGGGCCTGTGACCTGGTCTGCGAAGTCTCCTGACCTATCCCCCCTGAAATTCTTTTTGTAGATGTATCTAAAGAGTATAGTATACGAAACACCTGTCGCAAGCGAAGAAGAGCTCGTTGCCAGGATCAGAAGAGCAGCTGTTCAAATTAACAACGATCCTAGCGTGTTCGCCAGAATCCGCCGGTTCTTGGTTCGGCGCTGTCGTATCTGTGCAAAGATCTTGGAGGACGACACTTCGAGTACTTGCTTTGAGATATCTTCCTACATAATATCGCTCATACAGAGCCTTCATCGGCTTGATCAGTCATCGATCTTGCCTTCATCGGCTGGATCAGCCACCGATCTTACTATGATTGGCTAGATCATCTTCCAATCTGGGAATTGAATTTGTGTTTGGATCTCTTGCCTTCGTGGGCGAGACATCTTACCATGAAAAGCTCGATAACTTCGAAACAACTTACTTAAAATTGCTAAAATTAGTGCTTTGAAAAGGTCTCGAGAAGGGCTACAAGAATATGCAATAAAAATTGAAGGGTTCCATTTCAAAAATTCAAGATGGCCTTGTCGTGACTTCAGCGACGCCATCCAAGGTCAAACACATGGTACAGGAAATAGACCTTTTTACACTCTACAACTTTTGTTTGAAACAATTTTTGTAAAACTTCTATTTTTTGTGATATTTCGAGCTCCCGACTTTATCGAACACTCCGTATGCCGTAACAATGTATTGACACGTTTTGGACCCCAGGTTCATTTGCAAAAAATGATTCTTATGGTACTCTCGACAATCTCTGAAAATTTGTCGGTAGAATTTCCGAACATCCGAACATCCGAATTTTCTTGTATATCCGTTGTAATTAAACCTTTTGCAATACGTTCCCCCCTACTAGCGAGGTGGTTGCAGGAAGGAGGTCGAAGGCCCCCCTTGCACTTCCCGCGTGTGTGTGTACACATACATTTGTGATATTTTTTAATTATATTAAATTATATTAAATTCTATATAAAAACTTACCTTTTTCTTATTTACCTTTAATTTATATTTTTGCGTTTTTCTTCGATTTGCGAGTTCGACCGTCATTTTTATATTTCATATTTGTGTTCAGAAAGTAAAAATACGTAAGAATTGGGTATTCTTACCCATTATTTCATAGTGCGCAGGCGTCGAACTCACACGTACGCTTAAACTCACATGTCCGCTCAGCTGTCAGCTGTAGTTGCGTGCTGCGTACGCAGTCTGGTAACAGCGTGCGAGAGCTAAGACGTTTTAATAAAAATCTTGTGTTTGCGTAGTAAATTAACAGAGAAAATGAAGTGTACTCTGCAGGAATATATGAATATGATTGTGGCATACGGACTAGCGGGAGAAAATACTTATCATGCGGCCGCAATTACATGGAATCATTTCTCGGGCGTGCACGAAAACCAAGTGGCAGTACAATTTTACGTGTTTGGCAATAATTATGTAAAACTGGGTATCGTACATAATATCGGGATAACCGGTCTAGCAGTATGCCTTCGTGTACGAGATGAAGAAAGGATTCTTGAAGCATTTTATCATCGTATCATTATCAACGTGTGCAATACATTTTATTCGAGGGATTTTCCACGGATCAATTTTTGTAAAGGTACTGTCATCATTAATTTTTTACATTTACGATATATTCAGCGTATAGTAATGGCATTTTGAATAATTTTCAAATTGAGAGTGGAATAGGCCTATGGGGGAAACCACTATAAAAAAAGCGCACCATGCTATCTATCGCAAGGTGGTGTGGAAATGATAATGCATCATTTTCTCGCCACTAAAAGGACGGGTCATTTTTCGGCGCGGTATTGCGATATATCGCAAACCACCATCATGTCTCGGAGACGTTCAACCCGCCCACCGCTTCGCCGCGCTCGTAGTATCGGATTACAGTGGGACGACTCTCGTCGCCGCGCGCTTCGACTCACGCAGATTGGCCGATCTTCTTTATTTAATATTTCGTTAATTATTGCGACAATCCCAAAACAATACAGGTCATTAATTTGAGCCAATCTACTTCTTTATTTCGTTAAGCTCGAAAATTGACGGACACCCTGTATACACCGTGGCCCATTTTAATCGACGCACTTGAATATCTCCGTTGGTAAGCCGAGTACAAAAAAATTGTTCGAACCGAGAGGAGTTTTTTCTTATGGAAGGAGAAATTTTACAAGGGACGGATTGCGTAAGGAAAAACCGTGTGTTTGCCAAATGTTGCATGGCAATCTATACGGCTGCGGAATATGCAAGGGTTGTAAATCTGTGGAGGTGAAAGCGGATGCATGCATGCGGGAATTAGAAAGCTGGTAGGATTCCCGAACATGTGTGGACATGTGTGTGTGTAACGCGAGCGGAGTAGGAGACAATTGTCCCTACAGTACCCTCCTGCTAGTGTTTAACGATATATGAGAATTTATGAAAATCCTCCCTGTAGCCGGTCCGGGAAGCGGACACATCTGCCTGATTTGGTTATGTGCTTGGTCGAGTTTTCTAGTGTTGTTTTCTGCTGTGTGTGTTTGTGTGTATCTGGTAGGTCTGTGATTACTGCGTCCTTTTCGGAGGGGCCTGGAACGTCCTGATCGTTGTTGCTTTCCTGAGAGACGAGTGGATCATCGGCTATGATGTACGCTGGTTTAAGGCGGTCGATGGAAACCGTAACGTCACGGCCGTTCATGCGAACCACGAACGTCTTCTCTGCTCGTTTAATTACTTTGTATGGGCCGTCATACGGTTGTTGCAGAGGCTGTTTGAGACCATCGTGGCGTACAAAGACTTCCTCCGAGGTAGCAAGGTCCTTGAACACGAACGTTTTACCCGTACCATGGCGAGATACCTTCGTCGGTCTCAATTCCCTCAGGTGTTGGCGTAGCTCCTTGACGAAATCTGTTACGTTGTCTGTTGCGTTGTCGCGGTGTAGAGATCCTAAGAACTCGCCCGGAAGACGTAGCAACTGCCCGTAGACCATGTCGGCTGTCGTGGCTTGCAGGTCTTCTTTCCAGGCTGAGCGGATGCCCAGCAAGACGGTAGAAAGGCTCTGTGTCCATCGATGTTGCTGTTGGCACATGACTGCTGCTTTTAGTTGACGGTGTAACCGTTCAACCATGCCGTTGGCTGAAGGGTGGTATGCGGTTGTTCTCAGGTACATAACAAGTGATTCAATTGCTTGAAAAGATATGATTCAAACTGCCTACCTTGATCCGTGGTTATTCTCAATGGCGTGCCAAACCGAGATATCCATCCATCGTAGAGAGCACGTGTGACAGTTGAAGCTTCTTGATCGTGCAGGGGAACAGCTTCTGGCCAGCGAGAGTATCGGTCTACCATAGTCAGGCAGTATCGGCATCCCTCTGACAGTGGCATGATTGTAATGTCTATATGTATATGTTCGAACCTGGCAGAAGATGGTGCGAATGTGCCGACAGGTGAGGAGACATGGCGAGAGATCTTGGCACGTTGGCATTGGATGCAGCTGCGGGCCCATTGTCTGCAATCAGATTTAATCGACGGCCATACGTAACGCTGAGTTACGAGCTTGACCGTCGCGTTGATTCCCGGGTGAGACAGCTGGTGCAGTGAGTCGAATGCGACTTTCCTGAATTCTTAACGGGTAACGAAGGGCCGCACTGTTTGTGATGAGACGTCGCAAAATACTGCCACGTCGGTGCCAGGGATGCACACCTTTTTCAGTACGAGGGTGGAGTCTTCCTCCAAGTATCGCCGGAGCTCTTCATCTTCGTGTTGGGCTGCTGCCAAGGCTTCGAAATCGAGAGTACGCTGAACTTCCTCCACGCGCGACAGAGCGTCTGCTACCACGTTGTCCTCCCCGGTGGCGGATATCGGTGGTGAACTGTCCGATGAAGGTGTCTGAACTACCGAGGTGAACATTGGGCCGTCTTCTTGTGGAACGCATAGACGAGAGGTTTGTGGTCCGTGTAGATTGTGAACGACCGTCCCTTCACGGTGTGCCTGAAGTGCTTGATTGCTAGGTAAATAGCAAGTAACTCCCGATCGTAGGCTCCGTATTTTGCTTCCGCAGGACTTAGCTTTTTGGAAAAGAATTCAAGGGTTGCCAGGATCTCCGATCCGTTGTTGGAGGGCTGCTCCGACTGCGTAGTCTGACGCGTCGCTGAAGATTGCGAGCGGTGCATCGGGCTCAGGATGAGCCAGCAAGATTGCTTGGGCTAAGTATTCCTTGTTTGATTCAAATGCTTCTATAGACGTTGATGTCCAGTTGACTGGCGACTTCCCTTTAACATTGCCTAGCAGCAGGTTGTTAAGCGGTGCTTGAATCTCTGCAGCCTTGGGCAAGAATCTTCTATAAAAATTCAACATGCCCAAAAATTGTCGGATTTTTTCACGGTGTAGGGTCGTGGATAGGCCCGTATGGCATCGACCTTTTCCGGTAGCGGGCGAGTCCCTGCGCCGGAAACGAGGTAGCCGAGAAATTTAACTTCAGGCTGTCCAAATACGCATTTTGCTGGGTTGATGACGATACCATACTTCTTCAGCCGCTCAAACAGAATTCTCAGGTGTTTCAGATGTTCTACCTCTGATGTTGATGCGATGAGGATATCGTCGATGTACGCGTAGCAGAACTCCAGCCCTTGCAGCATCTCGTCAATAAAGCGCTGGAAAGTCTGCGCTGCATTACGCAAACCGAAGGTCATGAATTCGAACTCGAAGAGTCCGAAAGGCGTCGTAATGGCTGTCTTTGGAATGTCCTCCTCCGCGACCGGAATCTGATTGAAGGCTCGTACCAGATCGATGATGGAAAAAATGTTTTTCCCACGAAGTGACTGGGAAAAATCCTGGATGTGCCTCACTGGATATCGGTCCGGATAGGTTCTCGCGTTCAGGGCGCGATAATCTCCGCAAGGCCGCCAGTCGTCGCTCTTTTTCGGTACCATGTGCAAGGGCGATGCCCAGGAGCTCTGTGACGGGCGAGCGATTCCCAGGCGCAGCATGGCCTCGAATTCCTTCTTCGCCTCCAACTTCTCCGTTGAAAGGCGACGTGGTCTCTGTGCGACGGGTGGCCCTGGTGTGGTAGTGATATAATGCCTCGTCGAGTGACTTACGGCCTTGGGAGCTCCGTCCAGTCGTGACACCTCCGGAAATTGGTGGAGGAGTTCATGATACCGCGATGAGCCTGAAACAGTCTTAACGCTCGGAATGTCACACTCAATCACCCTTCCATGAGAGGTGAGCTGAGTGGTCGCGTCCAACAGCCGCTGGTTCCTCATGTCCACCAAGAGCCCGTAGTGTACGAGGAAGTCACTTGGACACAGCGGCAACGACAAACCTCCAGAATGAATTGCCGCCGCAGTCCGAAGTCCAGTGTGAGCGCTATCGTTCCGAACGTAGCAATAGTTGTATCGTTCGCCGCGGAGAGCTCATAGCTTGATTTTGTACGGGGTTCCGGCAGGTGCGAGCGTGGAAACACACACACGTCGGCTCCTGTATCAATTAAGAATTGTAACTTTGTGGATCGGTCGCTGACAAAGAGGCAGCGCGATATCGCGGGGCTGATGTCGTCGGCCGCCATTAGCGACTGCCCTGTTCGTTTCCCGAAGATTTGTCGTCGTATTTGCACGGTTTTTCGCAATTTCTTGCCTGATCGCCGTATTGCCAGTGGTACCAGCATATATCGCTAGCTGCACCAGGACGTCGGCTGCGTGACCGCGTACGCGATCGGGAGCGCGAGCGCGACCTTCCGCAGGCTTCGCAGGTTCCGCTAGTAGATTGACGCGCTCCTTGGGTGTTGACTTCGATGGCTACGAGTCTCTGTACCACCTCCGTCATCACGCGCGTTAGATCATCACCGTGAGCTCGGATAGGCTGAGGTGCGGTGGCTGTCGTCTCGGCGATGAGCCCTACCGGGCCGTACAAGTCCGCGATCGAATCCGCGATATCGGCTCGCTTATCGAGCGTGAGGTCCCGATGAGCCGCGAGGAGTGCTTGGACATGTCTAGGCAGACGGCCCAGCCAGAGCGTCTGCAAGATGTCCTCCGGAAACTCCGTATCGGCAAGGCCGCGAAGATGTCGGAGAAACTGCGACGACTTGCGATCTTCGAGAAGCTCGTTTTCTAATAGTTGGCGCGTGTTCTGCTCGCGCGAAGAGCCAAGGCGCTTGATCAATTCGGTTTTCAAAAGCTCGTATGATTGTTCCTCTCTCATAAGTATATCACGGACCTCCAGAGCATACCTTTGGTCGAGGGCTGTGATAACGTGGCCATATTTGGTGCTGTCCTGGGTTATTCCTGCAGCTACGAAACCGCCCTCCAGCATCCTGAACCACAACTCCGGATCCGTGGGTATGAACGGTGACGGTAACACTTTAACTGACACTCGATCGATCGATGATGCACGCGACGGGTTCGCCGTTTCGCGGTCCATGACACCACTACCGTTGTTGTGAGCCATATTGAAAATCTCAAAGCGACAAGCACTACGATGCACTGTGCAGATCACTCGCGGTTCGCGAAAAAGAAAAGAATCACGTCACCAATTTGTGGGTAAGACACAATTAAAACTGAACGTTATGATAAACAATAATTCTGTATTTACTTCTAATTACAATTACGAATGCCTGTATACTATGTGTAGGTGTGGATGTGTACTGTATGCGAGCAAGTGATGTGTCTCGAGGCGGAAAAGTTACTGCTCTCTGGAAAAATCCGGGTTCGACATGCACGAACCGAGAGGAGTTTTTTCTTATGGAAGGAGTAATTTTACAAGGGACAGATTGCGTAAAGAAAAGCCGTGTGTTTGCCAAATGTTGCATGGCAATCTATACGGCTGCGGAACATGCAAGGGTTGTAAATCTGTGGAGGTGAAAGCGGATGCATGCATGCGGGAATTAGAAAGCTGGTAGGATTTCCGAACATGTGTGGACATGTGTGCGTGTGTGTGTAACGCGGGCGGAGTAGGAGACAATTGTCCTTACAACATATTTAAAAATAAACCAAATCGGTGAACAAATAAAGTAGAATCTTTATGTCAATATTTCTCACATTTATTTGTTAATGACTTTTGAATAAAGAACGACCGCCGGTTAAAACCTTCAGAATATTAATCAGGGGTAACATCTTCACAACATACATCAATAACACATTTGTGCAAAGGTGGGCCCTTTTTATGCATAATTACTATTTCGTTATCATGAGATTTAAAATAAAAATATTTTAGACAATAGCTGTATGGTTTTAATGGGGGCATAAGATGACAATAATTTAATCTTGAATAATTTGCAGATAATGTGAAAATAAATCTTTGATTTTTTAAATAAAATCCTCTATTTTTATTGAATATTCAGATATTGTTCCAAAAGGAAAACTTCGAGTTCATGGCAGCCCTTTTGCGTACTGAAAATAGATAATAAAATAATGTAACACATACATTTTCCGCGGAAAATCATTTTTTCTAAAGTTTTTACGTAAAAATAAAATCGGCAAATATTGCAATAAACGAAACAACGAGACCATTTTGACCTTAATATACAGGGTGTAACTGAAAAAGCGCCCACGGAGCAAGTAGTGTTATTCCTGATTAAAAATCGAGTCGAAAAGTCTTGAACGATTTTTTCCTATAATGCTTAATAAAGCTGTAATTATTGAGTAAAGTTGCGTCAATAAGCACCGACCTTTAGCCTTCTTATCGAAATTTTTTTTAAGGAAACGCTTTTGACGGAAGAAATATGATTTTTAATACAAATTAAAGTTTTTCGCATTATTACATAAGAATATTGCACGATAATGACATAACATAGCGCCGAAATGGCGGAGCGCTCACGCACACTGCCAGGTGAGCGGCTCACTGACATGTGCTCGTCTAAAGACGCTCGGTGCTTTACCGCCTTTTCGACTCGATTTTTAATCAGGAATAATTATTTGCTATTTGCTCCGTGGGCGCTTTTTTAGTTACATCCTATATATTGTTAAGGTCATCATTCTGAATAACACTCAAAAGATTTTATTCATCCCTCATTTTTTATTAAAAAATTATTAACAAGAAAGGTAAATAAGACACCACTTATCTGTGGTGTCACCACACAATTGAACCTTGCATCGCGTGGAAAGTCACAAACCCATGTGGAACGTCGCTTCGAATGAAAAAGTGTATGCGTGGACACATTGTGTTCCGCTCCCTTGCGGGGGGCTCCACTATCAAAAAATTAGACATATAGATTCCGATTGAACTTTGCTTTCCGTGGAAAGTCGCAAACCCATGTGGAACCTCGCTTTGCATGGAAAAGTGTATGCCAGAGATTCCGGCCTTTCAGTAGCATGCGGTAGCATGGAGGGGATAATAAAAAAAAACAAAACATGATTCTCTCTTACGCTTCTCTGTGAGAAAACAGCATGCTACCGCATGCTACTGGTACATGCGAAAGGTCGGAATATGGCATCTCTGGTGTATGCGTGGACACAGTGGGTTCCGCCCCCCTGCGGGAGGCTCTACTACCAAAAAACTAGACACATAAGTTCGGGTTGAATCTCGCTTTGCGTGGAAAATTGCAAACACGTGTGAAACCTCGCTTCGCGTGGAAAAGTGTATGCGTGGACACAGTGGATTCCGCAACATACTCACAAATATATAAAATATAATAATTGGGTTTAGTTGAGATTTTTCTTTTAAGTAAAAACTTTCGAAAAAATGATTTGTCGCAGCTGAAGTTTTGTATGTTACATTATATTGGTATCTATTTTCAGTATGCAAAAGGGCTGTCACGAACTCGAAATGTTCCTCTCAGAACAACAGCCGAATATTCTTATATTCTTATTTCGAGTGTTTCTTAAAATACTATAATAAAGAATTTTTCTCTTAAGCACTTTTCCAATTATAAGACTTGAAATAATTTCTTATTTTATTTAAATCATAAACTATCTTCTAAAATATTTGATGAAATTACTTCAATACTTTTATACACGAAATAATGAGAGGAATTAATTGGTGTAAAAAAGTTATTTTTAAGAAAAAATATGTAACTGATAATTACATATTTTTTTCTTAAAAACAATAGTTTTTTACATCAATTAACTTTTGTCATTATTTTATGCATAAAAATATTCACGCAATATTATGGCAAAATGAATATTTTATCGATATTTTACGAGATATAGTTTGTATAAAGTTAAAAAATTATTTTAAGCTTTATAACTGGAAAACTTGAGAGGAAAATACTGTACTATAATGTTTTGAAAAGCACTCGAAGTAAACTATAAGAATATGCAATGAAGTATAGGAGGGTGCCATTTAAAAAATTAAAGGTGATCTTTACGTGATCTCTAAATTAATAATCTCCAAGGTCAAATTATTTCGAAGAAATTATTATATCGAAGAAAAAATATGTAATTTGCAATTAACAATTACGTATTTTTCTTAAAAATAACTATATGTTTTCTTTACACCAATTGATTCTTCTCATTATTTTGTACATAAAAGTATTAAAGTAAAATAATCGAAAAAGGAATATTTTAGTAGATATTTTATGGTTTATGCAAAATTAAGAAATTATTTTAAGTCTCATAACTCGGAAAGTGCTCAATGAAGAAATACATTATTATAGTGTTTCGGAAAGGCCTCGAGATAAGCTACAAGATGTAATAAAAGAATATGTAATAAAAAATAGCTACAAGATGTAATAAAAGAATATGTAATAAAAAATAGGGGGCATACAAAAATCCCATTTAAAAAATTCTAGGTGACTTTGCTCTGACCTTGACAACGCCACCCAAGGTTAAACTCACAGTGCTAATAAATAGATCTTTTGAAATCCTACAACTTTTATCTGAAGCATGTTTTTCTGAAATGCTTAGTTTTTGAGATATTTCATCGTCCCGGTACTTTTTATTCACCCTGTATGTATATACATACATTGTATGTTACATATATTGTATATGTATATTGTATATATATATATATATATATATATATATATATACAATATATATATATAATTTTAATTGTATATTCATATCAATTTTTCTCTCATGTACATATATATTATAATTAAAAAAACATTTGTAATATTTATATTATGAGTGGTTCTATTTTTTCAATTTTCTAAATTTTTTTGTTTTTCATTTTAGACAAAAATATTTTAGATACAAATTGAAAAATTTTTAGAGAGTTATATTTTTAATCTAACTGAATATTTTTATAAATAATTAAAATAATTAAATAATTAAATAATTAAAAAAATACAAAATATCTTATTTTGATATAAAATACAAAATAAATCGCTGAATTTTTAATTATTTTATTTTTATAATTTTTTATGCAAAATGTTATAAAGAATTTATATAAAACAATTAGGATAATTTCATTTCAAATATTAAGTTATCTTCCGAATTTGCGAAATTTTTTATTTAGGAAAATTTAGTTTAATTCATTTTAAATCGCCCTTCAACTTTTGTCACAAACATGTTTTTTCAAAATAGAAACAAAAAATTTTAGGCTGTAATCGATTAAAATGGAACACTATATATATATATATATATATATATATATGTATATATATGTATATAATGTTTTTAATTATAAAAATTTATGCAGTTTACAAGAATGTAAACATATTTTTAAATTTATTTTATTAAGTGTAGTTTTTTCAACAATTCTATAATATCATTCATATATTTATAATTTAATTTTAATAATAAGACATTTTAATTATTGAAGCAAATCTCTCGACTGTTGAAGATTTTTTAAATCTTGAGCCTAGTGGTGATTAGTCCTTTCTCTATTTAAAAGCTTTACTGCTTATATATTTCAATGTGCAATGATTCTTAAAATATTCTTGAATGTAATCGTTTCTTATAGAAAAAAGTAAAGAAGAATAAAGAAGAATTTCTTATTTACTTTTTCCTTTTTTTATACATATTGTACATATTTTATACATATTTGTATACATATATCTCCATACATTTAATTAAGAGATTGTTTTAATCACGAAATAAACTATGAATATATAATATTATCTTTTGTAATGTTCCTGGAAAATTACTGTAACATTTCTCATGAAATATTAGAATTAGATGTTACTTATATGTGTACAATATTACGTTGCAAGATTGCAATATTGAAAAGTTCTGTATTGTATGAGGTTTAATTTTGTTAACATATTAATGCATGTGTTACAGAACAGTTCAATCGATCACTAATGATTATTAAAGTACAAATCTGCTAAGATATATTATTTATATCCAGATAGCAAGCACACGTCTTTTTGATGTTCTAAACTGGTCATTTTTGGTCATATGTCGTCAAAATGACTAATTTGCCACATAACTTTATATTGACGTCTTGATATAACATTATTTTAACGTTATTTCAGTCATGAACTGATGATTATTTTATTATTAATGTGATAGTTAGCACATTGATCCCATAAAAAAAATCTTTTAAAATTTTTTATATAAAAT